TCACCTGTTTCGGGAGTACTCTCCATGTGGTGGGTTTAACACGTGTGAGGTGCAGCGAAAAATGTATGATTGGGGCTCAAGCCAACGAGAGATGAGCCGCTAGATTTCAACCGAAACCTGGAACCGCAACCAGAAAGATCCGGCCCGCTCCTGCGGCCCTTTTGCTTCGCTCGGGGCGAGAAAGTCGACCCGAGCGAACATCCACGGTGTTGTTTTTTCCACCAGACCCGCTGTTGAGACGGAGAAGCCCTCACGGCTCTCAACTCACTGCTCGAGTTGGAAGCTTAGAGAGGAACGGTGCGTGAAACGCCAACTGCTCGGGGACAGATGGGAGTTGAGATTTCCCACAAAGATTGCAGTGGTTCTCTTGGTGTGCCGTGAAGCAATGCTTGCTTGATCAAGCCAGGCAGACTTTTGCAAGCTCGAGAAGGCGCGCTTGTCCCACGTGGCAGTTGTTGCTGAAGACTTTGTAGGCTAATGGCTTGCTCATGCATTGGAGCTTCATTTGACTTTGCTTGTTGCAAGCAGGTCGGAAACCTCCCCTTTGTGCGGCGCTATCGGAAAGGAAAGAGGAAGACGTACTACGGCGAGTGCTTTGGCGCTGAATGAGTAAGCCGGACACTGTCGAGCCTGCTCCATCACTATGAAAAAGCCCAAAGAAGCAACCCCAGTCCAGCCATTTGCCAATATCTGCCACAATCCATTGAGTGGAACCCTGCCCTAAACTTTGCTGGACAAGAGTCAAGAGCTGTCCCAACGGATTGGCTTCAAACCCCAAAGATTAAGAGGTCATGTTGGAACCCGACGTGCGCGATTTGAAGGGCGACGGAAGCATGACATCGATCCCTTGCTTTGAAACTTCTAAGACTTGCCGGTTTCCCCTAAGCCCTTGTGAGGCTTCACCAAGAACTTTGGGAGGAAAATGTACCTACGATTGAGTTCAGGGTGGGTGAGTTTGGGGCGATCCTGCTCTAAGCATGACTCGACCAGCAGCTCAGGTGGGACATTGATTCAATCATGCAGATCGTGGCTGACTGACAGCGAGCCGATTGGCTACGCGCGAATTCAGACAGTGACGCATATACCAGGGGCGTTGAGTCCCCACAATCGAAATGTATGTCAATTGAAATCTTATATGCTTTAGCGGAAGAAGCTATATCTATCATCAAATGGTTTTTTAATGCATAAAGGATAATTAGATTTCAATAGTTGTGCCTGTCCCTTTTTGGAGGCAAGTATATTTGTGTGTGTGTGTTTTGTGTTTATATATGTTTTGTGGATGAAGTATATATGTTGAAAATATATATATATATATATTCGGGATATATTGAAATTAATGGTATGTATAGGATTTGTGTAAGTCTTTAGATATATTAAATTGAGTAAATTGATTTTGTTTGAATTAAATATATGATTATTGACAATTTGGTGTTTTGTATTGATATATTGTTATATTGAAATATGTTATTTGATTTATATAATATATTGAAATAATATTTATGAAATAGTTGTGTGGTCGATGCATATAAATATATTAATATAGAATTGATGAAGATAATATAATATATTTTATGGTTGTTTATAAGTTGATTCGAGTGATTGTTTGATTGAAATATGTAAATTGTATTTAATAGATTTGTTGTTTTTGATATAATAATTATATTAATTAATTAGTAAATTATTTTTGTTGGTTAATAGAAGATGCTTGAATGGTTGAGTGTTGTGAATTTCAATAATAATATTGTGGAAATATTTCTTTGATTGTTTTTGAGAATTGTTTGAGGGAAAATATATATGTATGATGTGGTATTTAATTTTTATAAATTATATTATATGAATTTCATTAGTTTTAAAAACATAATATAGAAATTATAATTCAATTTTTGGTATTTTATTGTATTTATTGGGGGGATGAATTATTATATTATTTTTATTTTATAAAAGAAATGAAATTTTGTATTGATATTATTATATATATATATGTTTTGTTATAAATTTTATATGGTAGTATTTATTTATATTTTTCTAATTGAAACGATTATTATTATTTTTTTTAGATATTGAAAGAGAATTTGTTATAATATTTTATAAGTCGGTGTTTTTTAATTAGATATTGTTGTTTTTTAAATTGTTTTATTGGTATATGTTTTGTTGGTATTGTTTATGTTAGTTTTTTGTGTGTGTGTTGTTTGGTTTTTGTGTTTTGTTTCTGTTTTTTGTTGTGTTGATTTTCTATGTGTTTTATATACATTTTTTTGTATACAAAAATAATAAATGTATATATTTTTAGTGATATTTATTTAATATTATTATAGTTTATTACAATAATTTAAAATATAGTAAATATTTATAGAATTTAAATTAAAAAATATTATTAATTTATATATAATTAAATTATTATATTATATTTGAAAGATTTTTTTTTTAAAGAAACCAATTAATAATAAATTTAAATAAAGAAACCAAATACAAAAAATCAATTAACCAATGAATATGAATTAACAAATCAAACAAAGAAAAAACAACAAAATAGGTAAAACAACAAAGAAATAAAAAAACAAATATTATTTAAAAAAAAGAAATAATAATTAAAAAAACAATAATTAAATGTAAATAAAGATATAATAACAAACAAAAAAAAATCGTGGAAAAAACAACAATAAAGAATTATAACAACATATAAATATTAAAAAACATAAATAAATTAAATAATAAATAACAATAACAAAACCAAAAATACATAAAAAAATAAAATAACATCCGACAAATTCAATTAAACAAAATCATAAAAAAATAATTCAAATTAATATATAACAAATATCTCTATATTAATTTATAATATGTTAATTGTTATTTATTTTATTTTTGTTTATTAATGATATATTATTATATTGTAATATTGATGAATTTGATATTTATATATATATATGAGAATATTAATATTATATTGTTAATTATTGACTGATTGTTTTGGGAAATATATTAAAATAATCAAATTTATATACATGGTATAAGGAGTGTATATAATTGATATTATTATATTCTCAATGATTTCAATTATTATATTAATATGTTTATTATAATTTGATATTTTATTGTTCATAAATAATATTTAATATTAATAATTAAAAAATTATGTGTAGATTATGTTAGATAAAAGATTTAATTATATTTTAAATAATGTGGTATGGTTTGTGGGTTGTATTTTTTGTATGATATAGATGGATTGATTTTAATTTATATATGATTTTGTGTTAGTATAAATTATTCTTATTATTGAAAAAAAAAAAAAAAATGAAAAAAAAAAATGGATAATTAATTAATTATTATTATTATATTTGTATATATTGTTTCGTATTTATTTGATGATCTTTTTAATTATTGTATTTTGTATTTTGTTATTTATTTTTGTTTTGTTTTGTTGTGTTTTTTTTATTTGGGGTTGTTAAAATATATTATTATTTTATATTTTTGATTTTTCTTATATTTTATTATTTGATTGAATTTTGTTTTGTATTTGATAGATATGATTGTAATTATATATTTTTTATTTTTACATATGTTAATTATATTAGGAATTATATTTATTTTTGATTGTTGTTGTGGTTTTTTAATATAATCAATATTTGAAAATTAATATTTGTTTAATTCTATTTTAATTAATTGAATATATATTTAATTAGATGGTTTTAAATGCAAAGTGTTGATTCTTAATTTTGGAATTGATATTATTTGAGTTATTAGGAATTAATTTAATTATTAGGATATAACATATATATTATATATGGTTTTGATATTCAATATATTGGTATTTTGAAAATAATAATTATTATATGAAATAATTTGATATATATATATATGAAATATTATTATTATAAATAATAATATGTATATTTATTTTTATAATAATAAAATAAATTCGTTTTTTATATCTATATCATTTAATTTTATATAATTAATATAATTATTATATATTATCGTCCTCCTACAAAATAAATTCTTAATTATATTATTCAAATATAAATCCTTTTCAATTAAGGTATATTTATTCCAAAATAATTCCTTTCAATCAATAATCTATTTATATAAAATATTCCCTTTAAATTAATTATTCAAATATAAAAACCAAAATTAATTAAAACCTCTACTCATCCAATACCAAAAATATATTCAATAATAATCAATAACGGTCAATATAATTTTAAGTATTATATAAATAAAAAAAAAAAAAAAAAAAAAAAAAAAAATCTATAATCATTCATTATATATAATATATATTCTACCAAATATTATTTAAAACAAAATCTAAATAATATATATATTCACCCAAAAGCATATTCTTTTCAATTAACAATCTATTTGTTTAATTAAATATATTCCCCTTTTAATTAATAATTCATTTTCTTTAAAATATCCCCTTTCATTTAGTAATTATGTTTTCTCAAACATAATCTTCTTTAAATTAATTATTCAAATATAAAACCTCTAAAATTTAATATGTATTCCCAATCAATCAAAAATCAAAAACCAATCAAAATTCCTTATAAACCCTACTAAATCATTCCAATAACATTCTTTTCGGGAACCACATTAGTTTACAAACCCCAATCCCCCTATCAAAAAATTATTATCAATTAATTTAATCAAATATATTCTTCTTTTATTAATAATTCATTTGTTCCAAAATATCCCCTTTAATAAAAATAAAGATATTCCTCACACTCCCCATTAAACCACAACAATGGCATTATTTTAGGGAATCCTATAAATTTCAAATTATATGTTTATATTGGATATAATGTATTTAATTATTTGTTTTTGATTCCTTGTGTTCCCTGCGTTGATCGATACACACTGAATCAAGGCGAGCCACCAATTATGTGAAAGTTGCTTCGACAGGTGTGGTTTGCATGGTGAATATCCGGGGCCGGCAGCTGATGAACGGTGTGTTTATGTCCAAACACAAGCCGTGGTTGGTTTAGTAGGGATTCCTGGTATATGCTGCGCAGGGAGGTTGAGTTGCAGATTCGACTGAGGTGACACGGCTAGCAACGCCTCAAGATCAGATCAGTACCTGCAGGCACATGCCGTTCACATTCCATTCCGCTCATCGCCCTCGTCCAATGCGTTCAACAAAGCATCCTGCTCCTTTGTTCAGCTTCCTGTGAATTGGTGGTGGTTTGGATTGGTTTGGCGCGTTGAACCCCTGGCTTTTGTTTAGCAAATGGGACACCGCCCCTTAACCACCAAACCACCCAACCAAACCACCAATTAAGGTTTACCTGAGTCACAATCAAAACCTGGCACAAAAATGATGAACCCAGAACCATGTAGGGACTGGAGAAGGCAGCGACGCCAACCATTCATGGCTGGCATAAACCCCCTCACCAACCTTCGTTTGCCCGGAATTTTGAGTGTGACTCACCTGATTCGCTTCTCAAAGCAAAAATAATTGTCCGGTTCTCTGAGCCCCGAACGGCCCGGGCCGGCCTGGCGGCGCTTGGTGCAGCATGGGCTCCAGCGGTTTGTGGGAATACGCCCTCCCGTGTTTTTTGTTCAAATGGTATGGAATGGCACACATCTCGATCTACCAAGTGGTCAAAACCTGAAGAAAATCGCCCAGAGCCATGTAAAGCATTGAGAGGCTGCACCCATTTCTGGTTGGGACTCTCCCTTACTAGCCTTCATCTACCCCGGGTGTTGATTCTGGCTCAAGTTGACCTGATGATCCGATCTTGAAAAGGGCATGTGGTACCACCAAGATCAACTTTGGCAGATGTCTTTGCGATTTTGGTCTGAGCCTACTTCAAAAGATGTAGTCTAAATTGTGTACACACGTTTGGGCTCAATCCTTTCACCTAAATGCCCGCAGCATTCACAAATGCTTAACAAAACGAGCATAGTTTCCCGCAAGAAACAGAGCAGGTCGCAGCCATCAAAAGAACCAAGCATTACAGTAAGATCTGCTTGCTGGTTTCGTTCGAACTGGCAGCGTACCGTACCCCATCAAAACCCTAGAGTAATAATTACTTCGGTCCCCAAATCATGAAGCACCGAAAGGAAAAACTATCTTGATCAACCAACCGGTTCAAACCAGTCTGCTGGGGGGCAATGACCCCCCCGCTCCACGTCAATCCCCTGGGCGACACAGCGATAGCCGCGAGGCGCGCCTTTCCCTCCCGGCGCACCTCGGATCAAACGAATGGAACGTCCCCCGCGCCTTGCGGCAACTCCTTTCCCTCGATGGGAGTGGATCGAGGAAAGGGCATACATAACATCTCATCCTGGTAACTTATCAGCCGGTGAGTTGAAGCACAAAGAGAGGGGAAAAAACCTTCATGTGCATTCGCCCATTTACCGTGTAATTAGTAAAGTTCCTGTCAAATATACAAAGGGTCCTTTCTTGGGTTTGGCTTGACAGGAAGGACTCCAACTCCCAAACTCAGAGAACCCTGCATGACTCGCTCAAGCGGAATACAAGGCCCACCAATCGCCTTCATCTTCCTACACACGTGCCAGGCCGCGGCCGGGCGATCCAGAAGCATGATGCTAAGCTGGACGGGTCCCTGGTTTTGGCATGAATCACTGCCCTGAGTGGGTAACTTAAGTAGTGGATAATGTGGCCGCTGCAAAAGTTGTATGTTGAAAAGCAGACTAGTGCAGTAGACCATTCGAAAACATAAGTCCGATCCCAAAAAAGTCTCTTTGTAGCTGTACAACAACAACAACAACAACAACAACAACAACAACAACAACAACAACAACAACAACAACAACAACAACAACAACAACAACAACAACAACAACAACAACAACAACAACAACAACAACAACAACAACAATGTGGGTAGAAAGTGCTAAAGGCGGCTAACGCCTTTTCCTTCCATCTACTGTCTGCGTCAGCGCATATGACTCAAGGCCTGCAAGAGGCGACATGCCAAACCCATAACGGTGGTTTACATGCTTTCAGCCCCCAAAACTGAAGTGGGTTTGGCCGTCGTCTTGCGGCGGTGAAGTCCTTGCCGGCCTTGTGCCAGGACTTCCTCTTCTTTCTCGAGGCGCCACGTGTTAGTGGCCAAAAGCCTCATCATGGGCTCTTCGTGTGCCCCGCTGACCTTTGTCAGCATATCTGCCGGGTTCTCGTTATGAGGAACCCATCTAATGCGGCCTCTCACTTTGCTGAGCGACTCCTTGATCAGCGCGACCTCCAAGGCAGCTCGATCATCTTCTCCTTGCGCTTGCTCATTCTTGACCGAGTCAAAGACTGACTTGGCATCAATGACCGCGATCATGGCGGGGTCCTGAAATGTAGGATTCTCCGAGGCGATCACCGATGCTTCGCCTTGCAATCCTCCGTCGTCCTCGATCTCCAAACGGTGCCTTGGGCTGTACCGGGAGAACCTTAGCGACTCCAGCGTTGCCACCTGCTTCTCCATGGATCCAAGCGCGGTGGACATGCTGATGGCCTCGCACAGGTTCGTAGATCCGGCTTTTCGGCGAAGCTTCCGGGATCTCCAAGTGATCAGAGACACCGGAGCGGTCTTGCCGAGGTTGAGCTGGTCTGTGGTGGTGGCTTGCAGCCACCCATGCTGTGGCTTTGACTTGCCACTTGGGTCGAAGGAGCTGTCGGCGATCAGCAAGCGCCGCAAATCCTCCTCCGGGAAGCTGTGGATCTTGAGCTGGATGTGGTGGCCCTTGATCTTGGCCACGACGCGGTTGGCCTCCATGGCATCGGCGACCGAAGGCGTCGGAAAACATCCAGCCAAAATGCTAGCTGCTGCTGAGGCGTCAGGGCGTCCCTCACGAGCAACCCAGTTGATGCTGGCCAGAGTCCCTCTGAGCTGAGAGATCTCTTCTGCGGATAGCGTCTTATCCTTGGCCTGGCACTTCAAGGTCTTGGCCTCAAAACGGACGGGTTTCAAGCGGCTCTGGATGTAGTCCTGCATCGTGATGCTGAAGGAAAAATCTGCCTCTTGCCAAACTCGCCGTCCGGCAAACCCAGTGCCAGCTGCATCACTCTGCAACTCCACGGCTTTCCCGAACTTGAGCATTGACTCCAGGGCACTCATCCTGCGCTGATGTTCTTTGTTGCCTGCCTCGAGCACGTCGTCCACTTCGATGACGATCATCCCCTGCGTGGCTGCGTTAGTCTCCCGGCTCTCTGAGTCCAGGGTCAGCACACAGCGATCAAAGCAGTTGATGCGGTATCCGAGCTGCTTGACCAGGATCTCCAGGAAACTGCGTCTCCACCAGGCTGGCCCACTGACAAGCCCGTACACTTCCGTGTTGAGCATGATCAGCTGGTCCTCGCGGTAGCCCTCAAAGGCTTCGTCTCGTGGCATTCTGCATGCCAGCTTCCGCGACCGGGTGGTCGGCTTGCTCTGCAAGAATGCAGTTTTCGCGTCCTTCACTCTGGCAGGCCATTTTCTGCAGGCTGCCAGCTGAAAGAACAGGTGCATGCTCGAGGTCAGAGGTGTCGGAGCGGCGCGCTCGATGTGGTGGATCATTGGATCTTGCCACCCCACCACACACCATCGGGACTTCGCTGACAGGCCCTCGTGCTTGGCTGGCTCGAAGCCTTCCATGTCGAACTCCTCCGGCAGCACCGCAAACTTGCCAGATGGTTTCCATCGGTCCACGTAGCGAGAGTCCAAGATGCCCTCGGGGTAGTCCCTGCGGAAGTCGCGGGACTCGTCCGGAGAGAGGATGGTGATGGCGCCGGTCTCTAAAAGAGAATTCACCTCTTTGGCCCTAGCCGCTCGAAAGATCTTCAGGTGTTCTTCCGAGAGCTTGTTGAAGACTACCTGTCCAGGCGAAGTCTTCGCTTTAGTCAAGTATATGCAGCGGTCCTTGTAGCTGTACGAGCCCTCCGCCTCGTTCAGGGTGAAGCACTTGTCATCGAGTGGCGCGATGCCGCTTCGTTGAGTCCGGCGATCGGTCCACCAGGCTGCTCCATCTCCGTCACCGCTCCATTTGGTGAACTTGGGCTTCGGCTCGTCGAAGGACACTGCTTCCATGAAGAACGATCGTGACGTGGGTGATGGCCAGGGAATAGGTGATGCCGAAGAGAACGGGTATGGCATCGGTCTCGATGCCGAATCCTGCACCCTCACCAGTCCAAATTCTATTCGGTTTTCACGACCTTCATCCACTCGGACAGATGTCCGTCGGCTCTCGTTTGCCGTGTTGACGTCTGTGGACTCGGGTGCCACAGATGGTGCTCTAGTGCTGTTGTCGCCTAGGCTGGTGGGATCCTCCTCCATGGTGATGTCTCCAGCCTCAGGTCGATTAGCTCCAGTGAGGACACCATCCAAGTGCTCGGGCGTGTACTCGTCATCGTCGATCTCCATGTCTCGATTGGCAACTCCAGGTTGTGGTGCTTGAGGTTCTGGCGTTGGTGGTTGTTCGGCAGAAACGTCTTGCTTACCATCCTCATCCAAAGCTCCCAGGTCCGAGATGGTAACCTGCCACTGTTCTTCCTCCCCAGGGCCACCCTCCGACTCGATGTCGTGATAGTGGCTGATCTTGCCCTGGTGGATGTCGTCAACCATTTCCTTGGAGAGCTCCCGGATGAGTTCGGCTCCAAGATGTTCTTCTGAAGTAGCATTGCGAACTTGTTCTCGAGAAGCTTTGATGAGGTGGTTCCGGAGGCTGATCCACAAGGACTTGCCGTTGGCGTTCTCGGCGATGATGACTCCAGGGCCACTCCATCCCTTGTACTTCTCGGTGTCCCGCCACACGTAGACCCAGTCTCCCACCTCCAAGGGCTTCTGGTCCGCATTTCGGGTCTTCTTCCTCACGGAGTTCCTGATCATCTCGGAGTCCCGCTGCTTCATCCATGCTGCGGCAGCGGCATCTCTGATTTGCCAGGCTCTCTTCATCGACTCCGTGGCACTCTCCTGCACCAGCATCGGATTCAAGACATCGTCCGAGGCCAGGCTAGCAGGCAACCTGGGAGTGTATCCGAACACTCGTTGGAACGGCGAAAACCCGCTCTTGTTCATGTAGCGGTTGCGTGCGATCTGCGTTTCCCACACGCACTGGCTGAACTCCGCCTCCGTGGTAGCCACGATTTCTTCCAGCAGGAGGCTGAGCTTTTCCTTGAAGATGCCTCCAGCCCGTTCCGTCTTGCCGTTCTGCCAAGGGCTCCGAGCGTCGATGGCGTGCACCATGACGCCCATGTCATGTAGTCGCCCTTGGAACTCCTGGCCGGTGTACTCCGTCCCCTGATCGATGATCACGATGGTCGGGTGGCCGTAGTGAACCAACCAGATCTTCGCGAAGCTCTGGAAGGTCTGAAAGGCGGTCTTCTGGGGGATCTCCTCCACAATCTGCAGCCCTGTGGCCCAGCAGACGCAATTCAGGAAGATCTTCTCCTGCTCGTGGAACTTGTAGAAGAAGGTATCCACGCCGACCACTTCGTTGAACGGAAGGTTCCGTGCCAGGTATCCAGGTCGAGGGGCTGTAGGCTTCCGGCGACCCTCGCATAGTGGGCAGTTGAAGAACTTCTTGGTCCATTCGATGACCTCGCTCTTGGCGTTGGCGTGATTCAATGCCCGCACAAAGGTCTGGTTGTCAGGATGGCCGAGGTTCCGGTGCAGCCGATATAGTTCCCGACGTAGGTCAGGCGCCAGAGACCATTGTCCATCTTCGTGGTTCCGCAGAGAGTCAATCTGCTTTGCTGCTCGCTGCAGGGATGGGGTCTCTCCGACTGGCTGTAGTTGTTGAGCTGCATTTCTCATCGCAGGGTCCTTCTCTTCATCGTCTAGAGCTGGTCGAGCCGTTCGGGATCGAAGCGGGCGACCTTCACGTCGTTCTGCGTCACGCTCTTCCGCTTCGAGTTGGCCTTCCAACTCCTCCTCCACTGGTTCCAAAGGCGCTGATGATTTCGACGTAGAAGGCACAGATGCCGTAGACGGCGCAGAAACAGGTCTAGATGATTGCCTGCCTCCCAAAATTCTGTGCGATGGAAAGTGCTGGTAATGGCAAAACTTGAGGTACTCCTCGGCGAAGCTGGTTTCTTGGTGGATGTAGTTGGCCATAGGTTGCGCCATGGTGTTGCTGATCTCGTCTGCAAGTGCTTGTAGGTGGTCCGGCAAGGCTGAGCCAAGCCGATTTGAGGTAGTGGTTGTAGTGAACGAGGGCGGTTCTTCGCAGTTGTGGTAATGGATGTTAAGTGCTCGGAGGTGTCGGTTCAGGCCGTCCACGATGGCCGTCACCAGTTGGGGTGTGTATAGTGCTGCTGCTGCTGCTCGACCACCAATCAAAGGTTGATGCTTCTGGTGCTTCTCAACACCAGGGCATTTCTTGCTGAGGGTCTTCACCAAGGGCCACACGTTGGTAACCATGATTGTGGGCTTCTTGGCAGGGATGCCCTCCTTGGTGGTCAGAGCAAAGGCGCACATGTCGAGGCGAATGGTGTAGACATCCGGCCGTTCACGAAGTCGCTTAGCCTTCTGGTCTTGCCATGAAGAAGCTGGCGCCGGATGCTCAAGCAGAAAGCCTCGGTGGTTGCTGTGCTGTACCTCCGCCAACTCCAAAGCAAAATGCCAGTGTTGACGCCCTTCATCTTCTTCCTGTTTCACTATCTGCCACTGCCTCTTCGGATTGGACAACCGGCGCAAGGGGCTGAACGTGGTGCACGGTGGGCTCAAAACGATTAATGCTGGCCGCAGTCTTGCGACCAATCGTCGGGCCTGCTCTCGATGAGCGGGTATGCAGAAGTCCCACCCGTTCCGAAGGTCCAGAGCGCCTCCGATTGACATCCCGACCTTCTCTGCCTTCTCAGTGACCCGGGGTGGGCTGTAGATCTCCATGACGTCCACCCCGTACTTCGTCTTGGTAGTGGCATAGATCAGGGTCTTCACTTGCTTCGGGATCTCCTTGGTTGGCTGTGGCCACTCGTCGTCCTCCATCGCCCAGTAGCTGTTGCTGTAGTTGCACGGAAAGACCCAGTAGGCGTGGTTGTACCTGTAGTTCGTGAAGTCTTCAGGACGACGTAGGTCCACCTTCATCCACTTCTGTGATGAATTCTCGTCGTGCAAGAGGTAAAGCTCAGAGGGATCTCCAAGCCATCGTGGTGCATATGGGGCTTGAACAGCTCCATCGTAGCCGCATGCCGTAGAGCATGTGCAGCAGATCACGAACGCGAGCTTCTGCATGAGGCCCATTCTCTGCTGCAGCGGCTTCTCCAACTGCTTGGAGTGGTAGATCATTCTTCGGACTTGGCCACAATGCCCCGGTCGATCATCTGCACATCGTCCCAGGTGTCCGTGTCGGAGTGGACTTCCATGACCTCCTTGTCCATGTTGAACCTCACTGGTGTCTTGGCCCTCCGTGTCGGCAAGGTTCCCGTGAGAGTTCTGCCCCGACTCCTTTGCTGGGATGTGCTCCGGTCCTCGTTCTGGTTGGACTTGTGGTCGGTCTCGCCGTTGGTCTTCTCCAGGGTCGTGCCGCCGGGCTCCTTTGAGTCCTCCGGCATCTCCTGCATCAGGCCCTCCGACGTGACCGTCGAATTGATGGGGTAGCTGGTCACCTTGCTGACGGTGACCTTCTTGAAGCTGATGTCCTGGCGGCTGCGTGGCGGCGGCAGTACCTTGGGGTGCTCGGTCGTTGGCGCATTGCACCTCACCGTAGACGTGCTGCTGCTGGCTGTGGCGTTCTCCAGTGGCATTCGTTCCCACCGGGATCCGCATTGAAGGCACGTCCACCAATAGCAACCCCGGCCCGCTCGGTGCCGTAGGTACTCGTGTTCGTGGGGACATTCGGCTGGTTCTCGGTTCCAGTTCTTCTGGGCTACCGACCTTGACAGTTGGGCGCCGATCCCCTGCCTGATGTCGTTCACGGTCTTCTTCTTCAGGCTCTTGTTGGTGTGCCGCTGGAGGTTCAGCTTCTCCTGCTCGAAGTCCTCGTTCTTGGTCTTCATGAGATAGTCCACGATCATTTGATCCTGAGCCACCTTGATCAAAGCCAGGAGTGCCAGCGAGAGTCTCCTCCAAGCTGAACACGGATCTTTCTTGGCCTTCTCGGTCTTCTCGGGCTCCGTGGTCTCCCTCACCAAGCGAGCTGCCCTCTCCTTGAGTGACGATGCCATGGCAGCAGAGGACGGGCAGGATCCGGGCCACTAGTCGACTAAGCATTGAGCTCGGCTGCGGCCGATCCAACTCGTTCTCCAAGTCCAAAGTGGTGTGAGGTTTCTCACTTGCATCTTCAACCTCGTCATCAGACATGAAAAACTGCTCAGCACAATGACCGTCACATGCACTCCGGGGGCTCACAGGGTTCCTTGGGAGCTGCTGGTCGGCCCACCTGACTTGCTTTTGCGATGTTGTGCATGTGGTGAAAGTGCTTGTGGTGGCTGATGCTTCAGGTTGATTGCTTGCGTGTTGTGAAACTTGAGGTCCAGGGCCCTTTTGCACTCTGTGATAAGGGTCCTGTCGCGGGCGGCTACTGCTTGAAGCCGCCTGTGAAGTCGAAAACGGTGGCGGCGAATCGTCGGGGAAGGCAATTGTCGCGCCCTCCTCCCAAAAAGGTTGTTCGCCGTCACCGCCCACATGAAAAGTGACCGAGCCTGACCATGGTTTTGACAGGGCACGAGCACCATGTGGGCCTGGCCAACGATCATCAATGGTGATGTCGTGGCCGTCTGCAAAAATTGCGAATGTCCGTCGATGCGGGGACAAGCCTTCCTTGGGAAGACCACTGCACTCATTGGGGACGACCAGGTGGTCTCGGCCTCCCGGAAGCGTCTGCACGAAGGTCGTGCCCTTGGTTGATTGCAGCCACACCGTGATGGTGCCGCCCTCGAAGAAGTTCGTGGTTCCCTTGGGCGGCAGCTTGAAGGGATCGATCTTGGGGTTCTTCCGTCGTCCCACCGGAAGGTCCCAACCATCCTGATCGAAGTCCAAGATGTTGATAGTGCGGTGTGCTGATGGCAACCTCGTCATTGGCGTGGGAGTGCCGTTGATGATGCACAGCTCGTTCTGCAAATCGATGATCGCCTCCACGGACTCCAGGAAGCTGACGGGAAGCAGCGGTGGGGTCTGAAACTGATCGCTGTCTCTGAGGATGGTGAACCTCAGCACACAGTTGTTGGAGGCTATCCCCAAAGGCACCTCCATCATCGACTCCACTACCGCGGCTCCACCAATGCCGCCAGCTCCGGGAAGTGGAACTCCAGCGCTCACCGGTAGAGGTCGAAGTCCTCTTCGATGCAGCTCAATGGTGAGCTGCCTCATAGCTGTGCTGCCTATGACTGCATCTTCAGCCGCAGTGTCAACCAAGGCTTCCTGCGGTCGGCACTTGACTCCGGCGAAGATCATCAGCCTTTTCGCAAGCGTTGGTTGTGTGGTTCTCGCATCGGTCTGGGGCATCTCCTTGAGGTTGGTGGTCATCATGAAAACCATCGGCTGGGTCGCAGTGTTGTTGCCCGAGCTTACTATGAACATCTTCTTGTTGGTGCCCTTCCCAGCACCCTTGGTCTGAAGCGGGCAGTCCTTGGCGTAGTGGCCCAGCTCGTTGCAGTTGAAGCAGCGGGTTCGCAGAATGAGATCCTCTGACGTTCCCCGCATCTGCCCCTGCCCCTTTCCTTTATCACCACCTTTCCCTTTTCCACGGCCGGAGAATCGGAACTTGCCCCGACCCTTCTTTCCACCTTTCCCATCACGAAAAGGCGGGCCTCTCCGAGTGTAACCGCGATCAGTGCGGCGCTTCTGTAGCTCCTTTCTCACATCTCGGTAGGCGGAGACGTAGGCTTCCAAGTACTTCGACTCCTCCTCCGTGTACTCACGGTCCTCCATGAAGAAGTGAGCGTTGCCCTCGTCATCGATGGCGACCGGGTTCTCCGGTTCATCCTCGTGCTCCCACTCCGGTTCGTACTCGTACGGGTAGTCTATGTGGTCCTCGTGGTCCTCGAAGTTGCCGCTGTAGTGGTCGTAGTCATAGCTCTCGGGGAACTCCTGCAAGTAGTGCTCCTGGTGGAAGTTCTTGGTCACCTTGGTG